CAATTACCTTGACCTTGACCCCAGGGAGTCCAAATGCAATACCAACCCAGGTCTTCATATAAGCTTGCTATACACCAAGTTTGATAACAATATCTCAATCCTACCTCTAGTTATTGTTCGGAAACCATTTTTCTATTTTTAGTAACAATGACCTTGACCTTGACCCTAGGGGGCCCAAATGCGATACCAACCTAGGTCTTTATATAAGCTTGCTATACACCAAGTTTGATAACAATATCTCTATCCTACCTCTAGTTATTGTCCGGAAACCATTTTTCTATTTTTAGTATCAATGACCTTGACCTTGACCCCAGAGGGCCCAAATACAATACTAACCAAGGTCTTCATATAAGCTTTCTATACACCAAGTTTGATAACAATATCTCATTCCTAACTCCAGTTATTGTCACGAAACCATTTTTCTATTTTTAGTAACGGTGACCTTGACCTTGACCCCAGGGGGCCCAGATGCAATACCAACCCAGGTCTTCATATAAGCTTGCTATACACCAAGTTTGATAATAATATCTCATTCCTAACTCAAGTTATTGTCCGGAAACCGCTTTTCTATTTTTAGTAAAAATGAACTTGACCTTGACCCCAGGGGGCCTAAATGCAATACCAACCCAGGTGTTCATATAAGCTTGCTATACGCAAAATTTGATAACAATATCTCATTCCTAACTCTAGTTATTGTCCGGAAACCATTTTTCTATTTCTAGTAATGGCGACCTTGACCTTGACTCCAGAGGGTCCAAATGCAATACCAACTGGAGTTTTCACATAAGGTTGCTATATACCAAGTTTGATTACAATACCTCATTCCAAACTCTTAGTTATCGTCCGGAAACCATAATGTGGACCGACCGACGGACCGACCGACAGACCGACCGACCAACCGACAAGCTGACTCCTATATACCCCCCCAAAACTTCGTTTGTGGGGGTATAATAACATAGAAACCCGAATAATCATTCTTGAAACAAACATACAATATATATTATGTTTATCATTTATATCAAAGACTTGGAAAAATAAAACATAAACTAACTGTAGTTGCAGAACTCTCCAACCCATCCTCGTTTACAACCTTTAGAGCATTCTCCGGATTTTGGATTGCAGGCATCTCCAAAACAATTTTCTCCACACTTAAAGGCGCAGTCATTATTTTTGCAGGCTACGCAAAAGAGATTATGTATGTGCACTTAATATTGCTAAAATTTTCATTGTAAAATAAAAGTATAGAAAATAAGAAATATGATGATAAGAAAAGATAACAAATAGAAGTTAATTTAGTATTCAACGGCATTATTTATGTTGAAACATATCAAAAGGTTATTAACGTACAAAGACATAAGAAATGAAGTAATGTAACGCACATACGACCAGTGCTTATATAAAAATAAACTACCAAAACCACTTATCGTGCACATATTTAATTCATAATGGAGTGTTTCGTGGTTTATTTTGTGAACGTTGTAGTTGTTAATGAGTATTTCAAACCACTCCTCGAAGACATGACAATACTTAAACGGTAAAAAATATTTTTGCATGGACTCATTCAGCGGTGTTTTATCTTAAAGGAGCTCCACTACTGTCAACCAAAACATATGAGTGTAAAATGGAAAGCTTACATACATTAACTGGGACACTTCAAACAGAATTATAAATAAGAAAAAAAGTCAGTAGAAGTCCCTTTAAAGTTAAGAGGAATATAATCAATTATGACATGAATTAAATAGGTTCAAACATTTATTGTGTGCCACAAAGATCCACATGAAATCAAAACTAGTTGAAGACTGTTTAAGGCCCATCACGCCCCTGAACTTCTTATCTTTCGGGGACTTGTTATAGTTTCTAGAAAGATACTAATTGACCAATAAACTGATCTAATTTTTATATAAGTGCCTTTTGGCAATTAGCACTTTGTTGACATTTTGCTACTTTTGTCACAAATAGTTTCACATTCAACACTCCTTTCTTTAGGTGTTGAACAACAACCATGCTTTAAGTAATGTATTATGTAATAAAAATCATATTTGCCCTTTTTAAAAAGGGATATTGATTCGTTCCTAAGAAAAAGTATACCTTTAAGTTCAGGATGAAAATTCGATAAAGATATTTGATTTTACATGATGATATTTTGAATTTCTACAAAGCGTACACAGTGGCACTATTACTTCAGTTCATATCATTTCTATTCATTTCAGTTTTACTTACGCATATTGCATTGGTAACCTGTCTCTTTTTTATCACAGCTGTTTGAACAATTTCCAGAAAATTTCTCCCAAATTGTTGCACGCTCACACTGACAATATTTATCGCAATTATACCCACACCTTTTATCTGGGCAATCTGGTATACAACAGAATAACACATATAATTAAGATGTCTTGTGAATTTCTAAAATCAGTGTGTAAACTAAGGTTGACGAATGTACTGTTCCCTCTTCCTGATAAGTTAAAATCATTGAATTTCATTCCTTTTACCGATGGCGGTTCCAATCCAGTCAAGGACTTTGAGTTCAAACATAAAAGGGAACTATCTACCTGGCTAAAGGGAGATCAGTGGTTTTAAAGAGGTACATGCTTGTCTCTGAAATAAAGCTTAAATCAGGGCACCGGTGCTTCCACTTATGATCAGGTGGCCGTTCTTGTCTAAAAAGATGCTTGAAACGACACTTAAAGTGTCCCTCCGCCGGTAGAGCTTGAATCTGAAACTTAAACACCAACACAATAAAATATATGTTGTTGAACATCAAAAAAATGTAAGTACAAAAGATATTTAATAACATAATTAGGCACCGGGTAAAAGATGAGTTTTAGGGTTTTTTTTAAGGGAGATGTTAATACTACATCTTGAATATCAGGAGTCATACTACAAACATAAAAATAAATTACCTCCATAAACAAAAACTTCACATACTGCTAATTTATGTCTCCCTTCAATAGATATTCTCACAATCCTGCCCAGTGGATTTGATGCAAAAGTTGCTTGTGCCAGACCTGAAACTTCATTTGTCCTGTAAATGCTTCCTTCAACGTCATTAGTTCGATATTGTATATTCACTACATATGACACTTGCTTGTGATCTCTGTCTGTAATATGATAATTTTCTGATAAGCGGAAACAGAAAATGTAACTGACATGTTAACTCTGTTTCAGACATTGAAAATGATAAGGAGTGCCGTAACTTACAGTTAACATCGCTAAGAAACACATGTTTTAGCCTGCTACCTGCTTTTTTTCTTTACTAGCGAAAGACTGACGTTAGAATTATCTTTTAACCATTACTTTATTTGATTCTTTGGATGCTGTGTTCATGTTCGTTTATACATAAACACACTTTTATCATTAAAAAAAAACATTGTTTGTGCTAGGATTGCTATAATCATGTTCCTTTTTCGTTCACCTTTTAAAAGAAGTGAAAAAATGTAAAAGTGCTTTTACATGAGATCAAAAATTTAGTATAGTCATTGAGAAAGTTCTAAGTGTTTGACTGTTTTCTATTTCAATTATATATAGCTCGTATGTTCCTTTTAATACCTGTAAATGGCCATATCTGAACACTCCATATGTTTATAGGAAAACCAATATCCACTTCCCACCAAGGGTTTTTAACTTCATCCGTATAACTACAATGCCACACTGAAGTCATTTTCGTCTGTCCGTCAACAGACGCTTTAGCATTGCATAATTGATCACCACAATTGAATGCCTTTGATACCTGTGAAGCAGTTCTTCCAAATGCAAAATTTCTCCCTGAACAAACAACATGAGAAATGTAGCATACATAATTGTTTATGGTCAAAAGATCTTTTATATTAATCATGCCGAGTAAACTATAAAATACTTGACATAAATAAAATCAAAACAAAAAGGAAAGAAACGAGTATGTTATCGGTTTGATTTTCATAGATTTTGTTTGTTTTCTATTTTCTATGAACAAACTCAAAATCATAGTTGACAGATAGTTATATTCTGCTGTAAATTATGTAAATATTGTTAATCATGCAACAGTATGCACTTTCTTTGAATTCTATAATAATACGTTGTTATGTGCTTTTGATGTGAATTTTATTTTTCAAATAACTACTGACTAATACTCTAGCTGATGGCATGTTGATGTTTCGACGAGTGTGGTCTGGCGTAACCCTGGTTGAAGCTAGCCTTGGGGTGGATAGTAGGTTTTCAAATTTTTCATGTCTTATTTATGAATCCGTTCGATGACACTTTGTCATCGGTGAACATAATGTTATATTCAAAATGGAATGATAAGAATGCTTTAAATTTATTATTTTTTTACAAAAACTGATCAATCATCATTCATCAACAATAAATAGAATTTCATTTATAGTAATACTAAAGTAAGACAAAACACTCAAGAAATAATAAAATTACTATGTTTAACATCCGTTACCGTTTTTAACATTATGAATGTCTTAACCATGTATCATAACGCGTTAAGACTTTGAACGTAAACTATATATAAACTCATTTGATTTGAAACTGTTTAATAGTTTTGGTCAAGCTCTTTCAAATGACAAAACAAAGTAAATAATACGATCTATTTTGATAGTGCGAATTGATTTTCCAATGTCACGTTATTATGGTAACGTAAATTACAAGAATGTTCTTATAATTGTTTTCGGATCACATCTTTAAACAGTTTTGATGATTCTTTATTCAAATAAAATAACATAATTATCTGTTCAAAATCAGTTCTTACATCTTTATTACATGATCACTGTTAAAGCGGCCATTATGGACACCATCGTTTATAATTCAAAGCGATAAAGTAGATAAAATAATAAGTCATAAAGAAAGTGCAAAAGGGCAAAATCGAAAATGTTGCATGTTTTGTTTGACTGAAACTGTTTTCAAGTACAAACTAACGTCCACGCAACCTAGCACCGGCTTAAGCAGAATTCAACATTCAAACATACAATTGTATAATTTTGACGAACTGTCATCAAGTTTGTTCGTCTTTTGTTTGTTTTATTTATTTATAGGTCCAAACCTTTTTTTAAATCACAAAGGAATTACTTCCTTGTTCAGTGGAATTACCACTTGCCAACTAAATTTGTTAATGATAACGAATGATTAGAAAATGTATAGTACATTATAAATATACCTCCGTTTATTCTCACATCACAAAGATTTAGTACGTTTTGGGATTCTTCAAGTTCAATTTTCACATCATTTCCAATGATTGGTTTATCACATAAAATTGTAAATGTTGTTGTTTTGGGAATGTCATGACCTTGTCTAAAACACGTTTGCTTATTAACATCATCATCGTTTCCAGATATTGAAATATATCCTACAAAAACTTCAAAGTTCTTGAAATAAACTGAAATAAATTAGACAAACATGTTTATAAGTATTATTATACAAGCATAATTAAATGTTTTGTTAATATGTTCAATCATATTGTTTGGCAATATTGACCTGAAACATTAGAATATTCAATGACCTTTTATCGGTAATTCTTTTATCGGTAATTATCGAATTCCTAAGTAAACTTTGTGTATTTTTATTTATAGCAAAAAGTAAGTAAAATAACACTTACCTAACAAGGCTCATTGACTAGAAGTAAAGACTTTCAAATTTAAGGTCTGGTATAACTCTTTGTGAAACATTATTTTTCCTTTTTCTTTTTTTTTAAACTTTTTTTGGTAAAACTTGACTTCTATTTTCGGTGTATGAAAATTACCTGTTGTACGACACTACACATTGGATTTATTGAAAATTATATATGCCTTTATGAAATTTCGGGCCGTGATTATACATGAAAGTATTAAGAACCTAAAATTAATAGGAATATCGTAATGAATAACGGAAACAAACGAAAAAACAAGAACTCTCGAAAAATTCTCAGTCTCAGGTCAATACATGTATTGCAAAAAGTACAATTACGATAGAACGATAGTATACATGTACGTAAGAAATAAATATGCATAATTACAAATTAACTTCTCGATATGTCCCATTTCATTTAATGACTTAAACTTTATACGCATTTTGTTGCTTGACTAATCAAAAGACTGAAATAACACAATACTATAAAAGGATGTGCTTTCTTATTCAACTATTTACAATTTTACATGATATGGACAAAACTTCATTAGAAATAAAATTCTCCTGTGTGTTTTTCTTTTTTATTTTGAAATTTCTTTCTTAAATGTATAACTATATTGATAAAAAAATTTGCTTACCAAGAGACCAGGTATTAGTGGTAATCTGTATTTCATTTATTGATTCGTTAAAAGGTAATCGAATACTCCAAGACAGGTTTTTAGTAGTACTGCTTTTACCTTGTCGGGAACATGTGTTAGTATTACCGTCAGTTGCCATTATATCGTATCTGTTATCTGAGAGTTTGGAATGCTTTCCTTCTATGATATCTCCTAATATAAAATACATCACTACAAACAAATACGTAATTTACACACAATTGAGGAACAGTAGGTTTAAGACACACGCATGCAAACACACGTGCATGCATGCACCCACCCACACACGCACACACTCACTCACTCACACGCACGCACGTGCGCGCACTTATGCACTGCACAAACTGAGGAAGACAATTTTTTCTCGAAACGTGTTATTTTGCATCTAGAAATAAACAAAGAAAAATCTTTAGTTTTGTAACAATTTTACCTCGCCAATTTGTTTTTTTTTTCAAAATAAATTTTTATTTTATTTTTTATTCTAGCAAAATGTCTTAAAAGATCATTCTTGTTATCGGCTCAAGATAACGATAAAAGTTTTATAATTTTTCCAGTGTTAATAGTAATGCCAACTTTATAAAGACAATAGCAACAAGAAGTAAAGTTTTTAAGAAATACACACACTATGACAGAAGGCAAAGCCAAAAAGGCGCAATCGAATATTTAATACATTTTTGCGCTATATAGATGTCTTGTATTTGTATTAAGTCAGAAAAAAAATTCGTTCATTTTCATTTCACGTTATTCGTTTTAAAGTTGCCGATCGGTATTTTATACACTGCTTCGGTTTTTAATCGGAACATCTCGACGATTATTCTCAAGCTTAAAGCTGCATGCCTCCAGATCAGCATAAATATTTCAATAAAATCAAACTTGAGAAAAATTGAGATTTTAGGAAATTGAAACATATTCAAGATTCAAGTGATATTTTACATGTTTTGGGCGATTAATGACTGATTTTTCAGTATTTATAACTATATTTCTACTCCGTTACTAACGCAGTAAGGGCTATTTTTGCATAATTTGTCCCCTTTTTAGTAGTTTACGTTGGTTGTAAGTGCCATTTATAATGTGTAAATTGCTTCCATTGGTTATGTCACTAAATAACACTTAAAAATACATTTTCAAAATTTTCATGAAAATTACCATGAATTTGGAGGTGTGCTGCTTTAAAACTTGCGATTAGTTCAAACATATTTATTTCCCGAACATAGACAGTTACATATAAACATATACAATACAAAAACATTTAATATTCAGGAAAAGGGTGAGAACGAAGGACTAAGTCTTATTAAATTTTTTCTCCTTTTTAGTGTGTTTGTATAATGTGGCGAGTTTTGTACTTTATACAAGTATGACAACTGATGAATGTAAATATTTGGAAAAAATAAAGATAATGTAATACAAGTAAGAAACTATATAGCAATCAAAATGACTGAGCGATACTGATTAATGTGATGCTGTAAGTAACAAAACATTAATAAATAGTACATTTGTCTAAATTAAGGAAGGAGAGAAAGAGAGAAAACTTAAAGTTGTTTCGTAATCGGAATAACTCATCGATTATCATTGAATTAATTTAAAAATGGCGGTGAACAACTAGAATTGAGACTGAATTGAGACTAAACTAGAAATGTGTCCATAGGACACGGATGCCCCCACACGCCACTGTTCTGTCAATCTTATGACTCTAGGTCAAATATTTTTTGGACTACATGTGCCACAAGTTGAAAAATAAAAATCCACAAAGGGCCATAATTCTGTTAAATTTGGTCGCAGCAAAAATTCCTTCCCTAACTACCATCTACACATTAAGGTTGTTAATCCCTGGAAGTTTAAGCAAAATCTGCCATCCGGTTTAAGTGTAGTTGCGTTCACAAAATTTCTACATAGTATATAATGAAAAAATCAAAAAAGGGCCATAATTCTGTTAAATTTGGTTGCAGCAAAAATTCCTTTCTTTACTGCCATCTACACATTAAGGTTGTTCATCCCTGGAAGTTTAAGCAAAATCTGCCATCCGGTTTAAGAGGAGTTGCATTCACAAAATTTCTACATAGTATATAGTGAAAAAATCAACAAACGGCCATAATTCTGTAAAATTTGGTCGCAGCGAAAATTCCTTCCTTTACTACCATCTACACCTGAAGGTTGTTCATCCCTGTAAGTTTAAGCAAAATCTGCCATCCGGTTTAAGAGGAGTTGCGTTCACAAGATTTCGGGACGTACGGACGGACGGACGGACGGACAAGTGCAACGCTATATGCTCCCACATTGTGGGGCATAAAAATGCACTGATAGGTATAGAAATCTATAAAATGTCCATTTATATATATTATCCTTTATTTCCCTTTCAATATTCACATGTAGTCTATGGCCGGTAAATCTAAAACCCTGGATCGCCTCGCGATCCCAGTCTTTGACTCCCCGTTTTAAAAAAAATGTTTCTTCTAAATGTAAGTTATTACGGAATTTTTAAACAATTTTTACAATAGAAATACATACAACACAAAATATCATTAAAAAGAAATTCAGAAACATTCTATATTGTATAATAAGTAACGATATTAAGAAACACATTAAAATATAATTTTTGGTGTTATCTGAGGACGATATTCAATTATCACATAAGTTACAAAATAATAACGGTGTAAAAACAAAAGAACCAAGCTTTTTTAATTGACATAATTGACATAATTAATTCAAGTCGTGTAAAGTCAGATGTCCTATATTACACACATGTCATGCTAACATGAATAAATGTGACAATGTTAGTAGAGGCTCTTTGAACATAAACATTGTATCTATAATTTTAGTGGTAAAAATAATTCGTTAAAATGTAAAAGAATATATCTGTTATTAACATTTGCTTAATAATCATAGTTAAATTTACAACATAGTAAAACTACAAATTCACATATTCTCTGTAAATTAATATATTGAAAGAACATTCTATTAATAACTATGTATTCACTTAAAGACGTGTGCAACAGTTTTCATAAAGACATGCACATGTATTGGCAGAATTAAAACTGTTTCATAGAATTTACAAGCTGTATTTATTTTTCAAAATGACAAAAGACATGTTTGGAGCGAAAAAATATACAGTTGATTCTCGGTAATTCGAATTTCAATGAACTGTGCATTTCACCTCGAGAGAAACGGAATTCTAGTAACGTTGATCTGCCGCCATTACGTTTACATTCGTACATGTATATACATGTCCAAAGTAGTAGGTTTTTGTTGATAGCGAGAATGCTGCAACATGTAACCGTTGAAATGATGGTTAATCACTTACAACTACAAATTATAAATATATTTTAAAATCCATTAATTTTGAAAAATAAACAGAAACATTCGTAGCAATGACATAAATGCAAATCAAGTTGGTCAGTATTCATCAGTAATGATATTAGGCACATGTTAACAATAAGCACTCGTGAATTTCATTACTATAGAAGCACCACTTATTACACAATTATTTCAACATCAGTATGTCTAATACTTGGAGACGTGAATTAATCATCGGACTAAAAAACGAAAGAAGCAAATGTCGTGAACAGGAAGTTATTATTTATGTATACATATGTAAAATGGCGAAACATTTATTATACATTTTTATTTTATTTCCGTTGATAACACACATAAATACCTAGGCTATTATAGGACTAACACCTGTCAGACTGGTACGTGTCAACTTTCTTAAAGTCACTTTAACAACGTGTTGATAATACATGATGACCGACAATTAAAACTAGTATGAAACTTGTGAACCAGAATGACAACATCTCACTTTGATGTCGCCGACCATTGATACGTCGGCTGTTTTTCACACTTCGACTAATTGAGATGAAAATATACTGCAGACCAAACATTCCTTAAACAGGAGTCTCAGTAAGTCAAAATTTGACCGAAGCGGGAGTTAAATTACAAAGATAAAGAAGGAAATTTGACGGGACTTTAAAAATTCTTCGACTTATGCGGAATTTTGAGTGAGGCGATTTTGACTTATTTAGAGTCAACTGTATTGCCGCCGATCTCGTTTTAGAGTAATCTGTCCATTTTGATGAAGAAAAAGACTTGCACGTAATTCAACCTTGACTGTAAAAACATTAAAAGAATTCTAAAATATTATTGCAGATTTTGGCGTAAAATCTTGATCCTATTGTTAGAGCATATATATCATTATGCTGTATAATGCATGTATTTTGTAATGCAAACTTACTGTACTGACATCCGGGCCCATACCAACCACGTGCACATCCAGATGAACATTCACCGGTAACTACGTGACACTCTTTATTGCCCTTGCAATGACACATAAATCCACATTTATCACCAAATCTGTTTACTCCATTCTCAAAACTGCACGCTTCTGTTAAACAAGAAACTTTCTATAAACCAAGAAAGATGATAAAGGATTTCCTTTTTTTAAGTTAAATGACCCAAGTTTTATTCAATGTGTTCCTTTCCCCCAGATTGGTCTATTCAACTTTGCCATGTTGGGCTTTCTATAGGGATTCTGTTTTTCTCTATTCTATTAACATTACAGCTATAGCATATCTTAAATAATAGTTCGACACTAAAATTAAATAATGTGCTACCAGTGACGCAAAAATCCGATATTTGATTTTGATAACAAGCACTTTTATATATACATAATTCCATTTTTCGAGTAAAAAGCTTCTTAACATGATCATGAAAAGTGAGCAAATGCTTCCTATTATCCAGAGTTGATTAAAATTAACCTATTTTTGGTGGCATAAGGAATTCCTGATTCTTACATATATTATGTGTATTTCACCCTACAACTATAATGTCGTATACAGGTAACAGAGCAAATCAATACCCAACACATTAAATCATTGCTTTTTCACGACGGTGTAACCAATAACCCGAGTTAATTGCCTGAAATTAACGTTTACTTGAATCATAACCTGATTATATTAGTAACCTTAGATTATAACCTCCACCCCACCTCCTCTTTGTCATCATTATTGTTGCAGGCTACGCAAAATATATCAATTTGGGCACTAAATATTGCTATATTTCTCATTATAAAATAAAAGTATAAAAGTATAAAAGATAAAACTTAGAGGACGAAGAAAGATATTAAGAAAACATATTTTGTATTAAACTACATTTATGGTTAGAAAAAATATTAAAAT